TACTTGGCACTAGGCCACATTTCATAACTCAATCTCTTCTTTCCCACATTTCACATCATTTTCGCATATTTCACATCCATATCAATTTCAACGACAAGCCATTCAATTCAAGATGTCAAGTACACATGAGAGGAATCATGAATCTTGAGCATACACAATATTTCAGAAATCATACACCTCAAGTTATTAACAATGGAACTTTAAACACAACGAATTCTCCCAAAAGAAGGGGATACACCAACCCGCAATAAAAACACACCTCAAAGGCGTAAGCAAGCAATTACACCAATTGTTCTTGAATTACTCCTTTTCAATCACGACAATATACAATTTCAACATCGAAGTATGTAACAACTTGGATCACATTAGATGTACTTATAAGTCAAAACATTATATCTAACAACCACTTATGGCATAAATTATGTATAAAGCCTTTAGGACACTTTATTATTGAAGTCATTTATGGAAAGCAGAGTCGAGACTCATTTCATAAACTGTTTCATAATTTCTCATGTCATAGGTATCACCAAGTACAATTATAATTCACATTCTCGGCACATTGGCCATACTCTATTTCCCAATGTCATTTGATTTATTTCAAACACCTTTATACATAGAAGATTTCACATAGTTTGGCATAATATATGTAGCTCCAATCTCAGTTTAAGGTCTTAGCATTTCAATATGTGATTCATATTTCTTGCACCCTTTTTATGTTATCAAGAATAGCACATTGATCATATTGGAATGCATCTTTCACAAATATAGGGTCACAACACAAATTCATGTAAAGTATCAATCAAAGCAAGAATCCAAAGTTGAGTCTTACCACATTTACACAAGCATCAATAGAGCTCAATTTCTAAAAGATGGGGTTTTAGCCATACATACCTCAAAGAGCTTTTCCTTAAGTTACTACAACGTTCCGAAAATTCTAGCAATGCCCATCTACTTCGAGACATAACCAAATTGAACGCAAATTAGGAAGATATTCATAATTCTAGCTCATTCGAGCATTTTATCAAACACCATATGAGCGTTAAATCTTTATGGTTCTTTTATAGAGGATTTCATCAACCCACAACCCATACTTTACCATTTCTTTCCTCAACCATGATCCTACACCTTTTGGGAACACATGCAAACAAGATAACAACTCCAATACCCACAAACTTTCTTGATAAATAACCGCCCTTAGCTAAAATTCGAAATTAAGGGTTAGGGTGTAGGATCTTACCTCTTTGATGAAGGACTTGAAGGATTTCTTGTTGGATTTCAAGGATTGGACAAGATTTTTGATGAACAAGGCACTTGAGCTTCTTCCTCTCTCTAGAATTGCTCTTCCCTCTCTCTAAAAGCTCCAGAAAATCCCAAAATAACAAACCCCAAACGAGTTAAATGAATTGGGGTTCGGGTCTTAAAAACCCAGTTTTTGTACTGCCGCGCCGCGTGGGGCGCCGCGGGACGTCTGTGAAAATGTGTCTGGAAATGAAATTTCGGACCATACTGGAATTACTACTGGCTCGGCGCGCCAGACTCCGCATGGGGCGCCGCGGTAGTGCAAATTTCTGCGTTGCTTTGGTAATTTGGTCGTAACTTTGTGTAGGAATGTCCGAATGACGAACGGTTTGAAGCGTTGGAAACTAGACCCAAAGACCTTTCATATAATAGGTTGTTAATCACATAAAACTATAAATATTTTGATATTCTTGTCCAAAGTAGGGACTTGTGCAAACTCATTTGGAATCTTAGCCTATTACGAAATATTTCAATTTGACTTGGACTTAGGCCCTTCCTTGGACCCCTAATACTTACCATAAGACTTATACATATATTTACCAAATCCAATTGATGTACATCATGTTAATAGCACATAAAATATTATAATAAGCCTATGTGGCACCACGTAATCCTAGGTTGCTTAGCGAAATTTTCCGGGGCCTTACACTGAGTGAATCACTGGAGTGATAGGTATATTCCTGGTTGTCCATCCTGAATTTTGTGCCATCTTGTCAAGTAGACTCTGGCCTTCTCTCCATGTTTTGCTCAAAAATGCTCCACCAGCTGAAGCATCAATAATGTTCTTCATGCTATCTGATAATCCCATGTAAAACCGCTGTCCCAACATCAGATCTGGAATACCATGGTGCGGACATATAACCAGCATCCCTTTGAAACGTTCCTATGTTTCATGCATTGTCTCCATTGGTCTCTTTTTAAAACTCAAAATTTCATCAATTTGTTGAGCAGTCTTGTTGGGTGGGTGGAACTTGTTCACGAATTGCTTGACTAACTCTTTCCAAGTTGTTATGGAATTTACGGGGAGTGAGTTTAGCTAGGTCTGGGCAGCTCCTGTCACTGAGAATGGAAACAATAACAGCTTGATTGCTTCCAGAGTTACGTTGGGCTGCCTTTGGATTTTACATATTGACAGGAAATTTTTCAAGTGTTGTTGAGGATCTTTGACTTGTGACCCCGAAAATAATCCCTTGTTTGCAACAAGTGCAACATGTTATTCGTGATTTTGAATGATTTAGCCTGTATCTGCGGGACTACAATCGCTGTGGACAGAGTTTCAGCTGTGGGTTGTGCCCAATCATAGAGAGCAACCTCTGGCACAAGAGGTGCCACTGGCGCTATTGGTACAGCTGGGTCTTCTTCGTGATCTCCCATGCCTGTTTTGAATTGTTCAGTTGTTTGTTTTTCTGGTTGGCCCGATTCAAGGCCTTGAAAATTCTCTCAGGATCTGATAATGCTTCAAATACTTCACCAGTTCTCGATGAGTTTCTAGGCATGCAACTGTACAACCACGTTAACAAACGTTAAAATTTCAATGTAAAGATTAAGTATAGAGAAAATTGACTACACTAAGAATTTTTGTACTTCTTTCAATTGTAATTGATAACACCGTTAAGTCCCCGCCAACGATACCAAAATTTGATCCCGCCCAACTATGCCTTATAAAAAGGACACACGGACGTTGCAAATATAATCTGAGTATTTAGCCCAGCGTTGAACCCACAAGGAATTAACCTATCAATTACTCTCGTTAGACTTACCAAATTCCACAGAATTAACTTCCCAAACGTTGTGAATAACAATTGAAGATATTTATACTAACTAAGAATGAATGTAAATAAGCAACTGAAAACTAACTATGATTAAGTTGTAAATAATTAAGAGAAGGTTCTAGGGCTATGATTTCCCTTATTGACGGAATCCCTTTCGGTTATGCTTCACATATTTTCACCAAATAGTCTCTATCAATCATGAGCACTCTTATTACCATAAATCAATCCCGAGTAATCACGACAATTTACTAGTCGCACTCTCCCGAGTTACACTAGCTGGCTTTATTTATTACAGCTCACTTTAGATTGCACCCAAGGCTTCGTTATCCCTAATCCTGCCTTTAAACCCTCGGTTATTGATCCCTCGTATACTTTGGGAGTGGTGTTGTTTAACAATTACGTAAATATGCACTCTCTCCCGAGTTGTGCACAATAAATAGGCACAACTAATTGAGGATCTTATCTATTAACTACAACAGGAATGTAGTTGAACAAATAGAAGTTAAACCAGGCAAACTATATTAACATAACAAGAAGTTCATCCTTCAATAGGTTCTATCAAAACCTTAGACTAAATATTTAGCTACTCATACTAGGGTTCATCATAACAATAGTCAAATTTATCACAAATCGTAAAAATAAAAAGAAGAAAAGAAGAACTCGATGTTGAATTATCCTCCTTGTCTCTTGCCTCTCCTTGCCTTGAACTAAGCTATGAAAATCTTGATAATAATCTCTTGGGCGAGCTAGACCTTCTATAGGTTAAATGGATTTGTCCCCGAACTTCCAATTTTACCCATGAAATTTACTTTTCCGGAACTGGGCTAACGCGGTCGCGCTAATGGACGCGCTAGTGATCGCGCATATGCCCTATCATTCTGCCTCGACCATCTGGGCTAGCGCGGTCGCGCTAGTGGACGCGCTAGTCCAGGTCTTCATTTCATCTCTTCTTTTTCTCGTCTTCCCACGTACTCGACTCCTAGGGGCTTTTCTTGCTTCAATTTAGCTCCAATCACAGCTTTAAGACCTCATACGTGCTACTCACTCCTGCAACGTGTGAAATTCACAATTAGAGCCAATTTATCATCATTTAGCTATATTATTACAGTGAAACATAATCAAGCTGGGGCATAAACAATCGTCATATTACATAAATCTAGACTATTATCAAAGACACAATGTCCATCGGTCGGGTACGTTTTATTATTCTTTTCTAGAATTAGTATTGAAATTTAAAAAAGAAAACTAATTTAGACATTTCTTTCTTCACATAAAATTAGGATCTGGTGAATGGAAACTGGTGGCTTTTCCTTGAAGAAAATCATATTCAAATTGGTTTTTGGCCTCAAGGGATTTTCACTGACTTGACTAGCTTTGCTACAAATGTCGAATGGGGAGGAGTGGTATATAGTCCACCAGGTGTACCAGAACCTCCAATGGGCTCTAGCTTTTTTCCTATTGAAGAGACTAGTTATGATTCTTATTGTAGAGGACTTACAGTCTTAGATGATAAAGGTGAAACTATTGATGTAGATGAAACAACTACACTTGTCGATAATCCAAACTTATACAAGGTTATTGACTTACCCCATGCGATACCGGGGAAGTTTCAGCATTTTGTACTCTATGGGGGACCTGGTGAGAATGCATAAATCTAGGTCTTGTAAATTATTACTGTCATGGTATTTAATTTGTATGCCAAAAAATATATACACTAAAGTTTTATCTAGTTATACATAAAATATTTCACATGCTATAAATACTATTTTCGATATATTTACTTTCGTTTCCCAATTATTCTGTTTGTATCCAAAGAAACTATATTGATGTTGTCAATTTTGAGTTCAATTGTGTGTGTTTAATATGATTTGGAGTGGACACTGACTTACATAAAAATAAAACAAAAGTTGAGGCAAAAAATGAATATAAAGGACACCTACTTAATTATTTGTGTTGTCACACCTCATCTTTTTGAAAAATAGAAAACTTTGGAATAAGGGAAGAGAAAATAAAATGATATGACAAAAGGAATGGATTTGAAGTACGGACGGAAACTCCAGCAAAATCGTAAAGAAATTTCAGAAATGGAAAAGAAATCCTTTTACACGACTCCGGGTGATCCACAAACCATAATCCTAATTTAGGAGGCTTAACTGGAACTTTTAACCCAAATAATACAAATATAAAACAAATTAACAAAACTAATTCTGTTATCAAATTCTTTATTCATAAATTCTGTTATTGAAAAAGTTGAGAAAGTGGCATGCCGTTAAACATAAATAGGACACTTCACGAAACTAATGTCACAAGGGAAGTCAAATTTAA